TAGCCAGCGTATCGGGGCGCATGCTGGCTAGTAATAACGAAGCCCCCAGGGTTATTAACATCAAAAGGATAAGAAGAACAACTGATAGCCTGAACATCAAAGGAAAACTACACCAGAATGCAGATGCCATGTCCAGAAGACCTTGTTCGGAAACCTGTAAGCATTGTCTGCGCATTGAACATCGAGAAGGACCCGCTGATGTTAGAAAAACCAGACTTGTGACCGATGATAAGTGGACGGCAGCACACATGAGACGAGATCAGGAGAACGATCCGAATATCGCCGATTTTCTACGTTGGAAAGAAAGAGGAACAGAAAGACCGACATGGAAGGATATCTCGGATAGAGGGCCTGCTTTCAAGGCGATGTGGGCACAATGGGACTCACTAGTTGTGGAGAATGGATTATTGAAGCGAGTTTGGGAATCAGCTGATGGTAGATCAACAATTTCTCAGCTGGTTGTGCCCCACATCAGAGTTAATGAAGTTCTGGAAGAAGTCCATGGCGGAAAATCTGGTGGACATTTTGGAGTTAACAAGACATTGAGTAAAATTCGAGAAAGATTTTACTGGGTTCAATGTCGTGACGACGTGGAAAGTTGGTGTAGAAGATGTCCTGTATGCGAAGCCAGTAAAGGTCCCAGAACGAGATCAAGAGCTGGAATGAAGCAATACAATGTGGGTGCACCGTTTGAAAGGATCGCCATCGATGTAGCCGGACCATTCCCTTTGACTGATGATGGAAATAAATACATCTTGGTTGCTATGGACTACTTCAGTAAGTGGGTAGAAGCATACGGCATGCCAAACCAAGAAGCCTCCACAGTTGCCAGGATATTGGTCGACAACATGTTTTCACGGTTCGGAGTACCAATGGAATTACATTCTGATCAAGGGAGAAATCTTGAGTCGAACTTATTCAAAAAGGTCTGTGATCTAATGGGAATCAGTAAGACGAGAACAACTCCACTACATCCACAATCCGATGGCATGGTCGAAAGATTCAACCGAACTATGGAAGAACATCTTTCCAAAGTAGTCGAAGAGCATCAGAGGGACTGGGACAGGCATCTTTCCTTATTCCTGATGGCGTATAGAGCAGCTGTCCATGATTCAACGAAGCTAACTCCAGCTAGTATAGTCTTTGGAAGAGAACTCCGCTTACCTTGTGACTTGGTGTTCGGTTCACCAAGTGTTGAAGAAAAGGAAGTACAAGACTACGCAGATGAGCTCCGAAATGGCTTGATGAAAACTCATGAGACTGCTCGGAAAAGATTGAAATTAGCAAGTGACAAAATGAAGGCACGGTATGATCTCAAAGCCAATTCAGAGGGATTCTTTGAAGGAGATCGAGTTTGGCTGTATAATCCTCGACGGAAGAAAGGCGTATCACCCAAATTAACACCATCTTGGGAAGGACCATATAAGGTGTTGAAAAGGATCAATGATGTGGTCTATAGAATCCAACGCAGCCCTAGGACAAAGATGAAAGTCGTTCATCTTGAAAGACTGAAGCCTTATCATGGTGAGGAAAGTTCTGTTTTTGATCGGGACGATCAAATTTGAAGAAGGGGGTAAATGTTACGACCCTGGCAATCAATCCCAGCTACCTGCTATACGGGATGTAAACAAGCCATATTTCTTGGAATAAGTAATTAGGTGATTCGACGGCTATTGAGATGACTCGAGAAGATTATCGACCTGTTCACGATATTTCGAGTGGAATCTAGACGTTTTATTAGGTAGTATGAATAGTTGTTGTTAGGGACAGAAAGGGAAGTCTTTATTTGGAAGCGTTATAATAACGATCGAAGAAGTGTTGTGAATCGGAAGTGTTTAGTACGAGTATTGTAATTATTGTATAGTAGTGTTCAGAATAAATCGTTTTAAGTGTTATACTGAGTGTTGAGTTATTACGGACCCAGAGTAAAATCGTAACAATAGAAAATAAATGGCAGTTCTAAGAGCTTGAGAAACACCCAAAACAGAGATTTTTCGTATTCCCAATATTCAAAACGAAATAGAAGATGTATCATATATCACTGTTGATAGCATCACATTGAGAAACACTAATCAGAGTGTGGGCTTCTGGGTATTTTTATTGATAAGTTCGTCAACTTTAAGGCTCATTCTTAGCAATCAACTTCTGAGCTCAACTCTCTGAAGTTCCTTTTCATCAATATCTGATCGGTTCTCAGTGAGGATCAATTACTCAACATATATTTTGCTCTAATGAAATCTAGATTTAGGTTTAATGTCAATTTCTGGGGTGGATCAACTGCTACAATAGTACTTTTCATTGCCCAAAAGCGAATAATTCGGTGTTCCGACTAGAGAATCATGTTGAAGTCTCTTCAGGGATTATAAAGTTTTGACATTGACATATCTTTATATCTTCGAATTATGGGTATATGTTCCCAAAGACAGATGAATTTTAACAATAAATCGGAAGACCATAACACAATATCTTGCCGTCATTGAAAAGGTGTAAAGTGAGTTCATCTGCTCCGCACTGCATTGAACCTGAAATATTCAATAAACTTCCTGAAGATTTGAGGTCTTTGGAATTATTCATTATGTTCATAAAGATGTTGAAAACATATGTTCTTATACAATTTCAGAATTTTTAGAACAAGATTAGTTTTAGGTATTATCGATTCTATTCTATTGCTATTTTCTTTTCTCGATCGAACACTTTTTTCATTTCCTTCTACTGATCTATAGTATATTGTATTAGAAAGGAGTAGAAAATAAAATAATAGAAGTGTGTTCATAAATACACCATAGAATGAATGTACTGATTACGGTGGTGCTTATATTTTCTATGTTATGTATTTATAAACACATTTTATTATTTTTTTACCAATATTTTTATCACATGGAGAATGCGGATTCTCAATGTATTTTTTTATATATACAGTTCTCAACACACTTGATGGCCACTCATAATTTGACTCTATTTCGAAGACCTGTATTTTTTGAAAAAATGTACCAATCTTCATGCGGTTTTCGATATCAGATGTCATGTTTCATCGGCTTCAGAAAGAGCCAGAACACTCTCAAAAAGTCCGCAGAACAAAACTCACCCAGGGTGTGAAGTGGAACCATGGTGGCCAGTGTAGCCTCGTGGTTAAAGCGTCAATGTTTTATCCACGTTGGATTACCGGTAATGGGTTCGTGTCCCACCACGACCGCAGCAATTTTTCTGATGGCCTGAGAGAATGTTTGAGATCACACGTTGAAAGGTGAGACCCCCGTCATTCCTTTTTTAGAACAATAACACTATGGCCTACAATTCCAATGCTGCCAGAACTCGATAAATTTCTTTCTGATCAAAAGTCAGTCATATTATGATACACTGGGGCCTCATCTCGAGACATTCTCGTGATTTCTCCTCAATTGGTCATTGGAACAAAAATTCGATTATTTTTCGAAAGTCTTGCGTTTCTTGAATTTTTTTTTTCAGAACTCCACTCGAGCTGACTATTGGAAAAAACTGGTCTCATGTTTTGTAGAGGACAATAAAAGACGAACAAGTACTATTGTGTTATATACAGGATCATAATAAAATAGGACAAAATATCATTTCAATAAAAAAAATCGAAAATGGTGACTTAAAACTTGGCCCATTCGATTCAGTATATTTAGAAGCGGCCTCCTCGATATTTATTATTAATATCAGGCTATTGACTCGAGACGTTTTCGAAAATTCACCTCTGATTGAAATACAGGTTGACAAATTTCAACTCAAACTTGTTTCCTGATATCGAACTGATTTCCAATATTTATTGTCCAAGTATGAGACACAGAGTATTGTTCAATATACTGATTGTCGGTCAATTTTTTCAGAAAATTCAGTGTGTTGAGAACTGTATATGATTTTTTTTTGTGTTCATAAATATATCTCAGAATATTCCTTTTCAACACTTTCAATACTTTATTTTCAATTTATTTTCAGTTTACCTATCTATCTTGGGCTGATAAAAATCACTTGGCATTGAACATCTCCAAAACCAAATTGATGAAATTTTCATTGAACAATGTCTCTGATGACTTCAAGTATTTTTGAGAATGAGAATGTTGAAAATTGCTCAACAACAATGATGTTAGGTCTCACGCTGGACTATAAACACACATGGACCCCTCATATTGAAACTCTCTGCAATAAATTAAGGGAAAATTGTTACGCATTGAGGTTTATGTCTAGACATTGCAGTAAAGAGGTTTTGCTGAATCTGTATTACGGAACTATCCACTGTCATCTACGACATGGAATACTGAACTGGGGTACAGGGTCAACTGCAGAGAGGGTTTTTATTCTACAAAAGGAGGCTATCAGAATCATTGCTGAAATCGGGTGGAGGCAATCATGCAGAAATGCATTCAAAGAACTCCGAATACTAACGGTTGCGAGTATTTATATTAATGAACTATGCATATATATTCATAAGAACAGGCCGAACTTCACATCTAATCAGCATCAATACTCGACTCGCTCTAAAAACTTGTTAATACCCAACATGCACCGAACCACCCTTTAGCAAAACAGTTTTCTGTTTCTTGGAGTTTTTCAATAAGCTCGCCAAATTTAACAATTCTCAAATCGAGATTGAAAACTGCTCTAATCCAAAGAAATTGCTACACCCTCGACGAATTCTAGGTTTATATAGTTCCATTTTACTAGAAGTTTCAGTTGACTGTGAAGTCGTTTTAGTTATTCTTGCCTCTGCATACATCTTTTTTTTATTTCTAACATATCTTCGTTTTAGATATATGTATGTATGTGTTGTGTATGTATATATATATATACATTTATATTTAGCATTGTGACGTTTTTCTTGATGTTATTGTACCATTGAAGTCATCTTCTATTTTGTACTTTTCAACAAGAGAAATGAACATATTATTATTATTATTATTATTATTATCATTATAAAAGGGTTTTCCTCCTTTTTTCAAACTAGTATTTATTGAATTATTTTTTGTTTTATTTTTGCCCAGGTCCTGTTGGGCGGCGGTCGCCGTCACTGGCTGCCCAAGGTGGCCCACGACCCCGAGCAAACGAAGGAGGAGGGCCGGCGACTGGACGGCCGCAACCTCATCGACGACTGGGCCAGGGACAAGAAGAAGCGGGCCCTCAAGGCCGACTACGTGTGGAACAAGGGCCAGCTGGACGAGGTCGATCCGGACAAGGTCGACTATCTGCTCGGTGAGATGATGGAATCCTTCCTGATTTTCGAGTATAAAATCCAATGGTGAACTCCATTCGTAAACCTGGTGGTGCACTATACCTTTTTCAATTGTAATTCAGAAAGTATGAGATGTAATCCAGGAAGTATAAGTTGTAATTCAGAATAGTTTATTGTAAATCAGAAAGTATGACTGGAAATTTAGATTAGTGAATTGTAATTCAGAACGCGTTATATGTAATTCGGATTAGTGAGATGTAATTCAGAAACTGTAACTATTGATTCAGAATAGTGAATTGTAATTCAGAAACCGTCAATTGTAATTCAGGAAGCATAAGTTGTGATTCAGAAAGTATCATTGATGATTCAGATACTAGGAACAACCGGTATACATCCATTCTCCTTGAGGTCCGGGTGTTGGAGAACAACGACTTGTTTATCTATGTAGAACATAATATTGACCAGGCCGAAGATACAATTGTTGGAGGTGCTGCAGCTCTGGCATTTCAAGATATGCCCATTGGTCAATAATTAAAAATTATTGATGTTCACCACAAAATTCACCATTCGTTGATTCCTATTCGCTACCCTAATTGGAGTCCATAATATTTATGAATTACAAGTGATACTTTCTGAATTATAAATTATGCTTTCTGAATTACAATTGACTATTCTGAATTACAAGTTACACTTTCTGAATAACATTTCACTAATCTGAATTACTTATGATGCATTCTGAATTACAATTGACTAATCTGAATTACAATTGACTGTTTCTGAATTACAATTAACTATTCTGAATTACAAATTACACTTTCTGACTCACATTTTACTGATCTGAATAACAAGTTACACTTTCTGAATTACAATTGAAAAAATTGTATTTATGCACTGATTTCGTACTGGCCATTGGTTTCCTTCAAAATGTGAAACAGTGCATTTTCAATGGAATACGATGATAAATTATTGTTAGATATCAGATCGATTGGGTTTGTAATCATTTGACGCAATCGGGAAAAAAACATTCATTAGACACCCTCGATTATAGCTTCCCAGGTCAACACTGCTTAGTAAAATGGCGTCATAATGACGTCTCATCTGGTCATATTTGGTCAATGACGTCCTCGACTTCCAAGATACCTAAGAATGACGTCATATGTAAAAAAATGATTATCTTTCATAAGAGAAAACAATAAAAGTCTCAAAGTCTGTCGACGACGAAAAAATATTTAATTATAGTAGTGTGTAGTTAGTTTCGGCCACAAGCCATCATCAGACACAAAATTGATGTATTCAAAGTACCTGAAAGATATAATGAACATGGTACTTTCAGGTACTTTGATTACATCAATTTTGTTTCTGATGATGGCCTGTGGCCGAAACTAGTTAGACACTACTATTATTCAATATTTCTTCGTGGTCGACAGACTTTGAGACTTTTATTATTTTTTCTTATGAAAATCAATTGGACCACTTAGAGAAATATGGATGATTTCCATGATTTCATTATCTTACCTTTGCATTGTCTATTACACGAAATTTGAGTTTGTTCATACGTTTCTCCACAACGTGAAGCTTCATTTGCCAACTTTCGGTACGTGGCAATCAAGCTACTTTTATTCCTCTTACATATCACCGACGCCAGCTACATAATTTCAGAAACAAATATAAATAGCTAATGTTATACTCACATAGAGATGCGAACGAATTATAACGCTAGAACCACACAGGATTACACTAGGAGGGACCAACTCATCAACGAATCTCATCAGAGGTTGATAGTGAATAACTATGTTTCTATGATATCGTATATATGCCCTAGAATTTTTTCAATACAGTGCTTAAAAAGGTCATTCTCAGACGGCATTATGACGTCTGGATATGACATCTTATGACTGTGACATTTTGACGTCTCTTCGAGGTCTTCAAGGCGTCATTTTTTGACGTCATTTGGTCAGTTAAGTGACCAAACTTTTTTTTTATATTCAACCTGTTTCTAGTGAACCAATTTTACCTTTCTCACCTCAATTTTATTCATCAAAAACTGTGTTAATCTCTGGCAGAAGTCCAAACTGAACTAGTAAACTGTCGTGAGGATGATTTCGAGTTTTATTTAGTTATTAGAAACTGTTTTTTAGAAACCCCTCGAATGCATGGTCTTACCCCTGGTCTGTCTGAGATGATGAGATAGGTTGCAACCTGCTGCCACTCGCTTTACCGACCGGATTAGGCACGAGCATATTATACGTTACCTATTGGGGGTGGGCATTGGGTGCAAGGTTGATGCAACGAGCTAAAGAATTTTCACTTCAAACTATTTACCTAACAGTCACTGTTCACGTATCCCAGCGATTTTCTGAACATCTTTTTAGGGACGGTATCCTCAAACGTTTCCATCGATATTCCACAAACTCATCGTTCGATTTCAGAAATGAAAACAGAGGCGTTCAGGGAATTGAAAAGTTGTCCACGCAGAACTATGAAAACCGTGAGACATATGATAAATTCTTCATGAAACAAAAAGAGATTATTTCTAACAATCCAAAGGAACTCACCTATGAAAATAGAATAGATATAATATACTATAAACTATATACAGGGTGGGGTACACGGATTGATGATTGATTGGGCCAGGACCAAGACCGACTACGTATGCAAAAAGGACCAGCTGGGCGAGGTCAATCCGGATAAGGTCGGTGAGGAACAATTTTTGAGTATGAAATCTTATAGCAAATTCCATTCGTAAACCTGGTGGTGCACTAGTTCTGCACCAGTTTTGCACTGACATAACGTTGACTGTCTCCCAAATGTGAACTGGTGCATTTCCAATAAAACGCGATGACAATAGTTATTTGTACACCAAGGTAGTGAAGAATATTATTATTACCCAAGGACTAGTATTAATTTCCGACGATTCAGCCAATTTTCACTATGGAAGCACTTCTTCTCAATTCTGATTGAAATCCAGTAGCCATGAGAATGACAGCATATGGCAAGTCATCATCGATAAATACATAATAGATTCGTGTACCATTTTGGCGAATCTTGCATCAGAACAGTGATTTCGAGTTAATCATAACAGAGGTGGAAATGTTTTTATTGATTGAAATATTGAAATGATGGTAGGTTTTGTAGTTAGTGGTGGATGAAATTATTGTGGGAGGTCAGATCGGTTGGGTAGGTTAGGAGGCCCGGTGGTTGGACGGCCGCAACCTCGTCGACGATTGGGCCAGAGACAAGAAGAACCGGGCCCTCAAGGTCAACTACGTGTGAAACAAGGGCCAGCTGGACGGGGTCGATCCGGACAAGGTCGACTATCTGCTCGGTAAGATGAGGAATGGAACTAGAGTTTCGCCATGGCACCATGATGAGGTAATATTGCGCCTGGCTCACTGCTTGCTACTCACGGCCGATTCTGAGAAAAAAACATCATTGAAATAGTATTTTTTCGATTAATCACTTCAAGAAAAAATTTGCTAGAGTAGGGTCACGAACCCCAAACTTTCGAAGAATACGCTACTCTCATGACCACCACGCTTCTGACAAATCAAACTACAAAATTTATACTATATTATATTATATTATATAATTTTATACGCTCTTAACAAGCCACCGTGGCAATATTTTCCGTATAGTGGTGCTTGGCTTCAATAGGAGTGAATAATGATTGATTCGATGAGTTTGACTATTGAAAGACAATCGAAATCATCTTTATATCAATTGATTGAATGAGATTCACTCGCTTCATGTTTCTCATATTGTATTTCCACAACTTGCTACCGCTCTCCGCTACTCGCTAACCTACCACCATTTTTTCCTTTTCGAGGCGTGAAGTGTTTTTTCAATCAAGGTATTTCTAGTCTTGATTGCGTTTCATCCCTGTTGCCCATGGGAGATTCCTCTGAGACTACATGCAAATAGTGCTCATCAACCGGGTTACGCTCAGCCAACGGTCTGCTACCTGGAAAATACTCTACACCGATGAGAGTCAGAAGCGCGAAACGGGTCTGTAGGTGTAACTGTCAACCTGGCTAAATCGAAATCAATCGGCATCAGGAAAGAAACACTTGCATAGATTCCTGGAGGATGTAGTTCAATGTTCTGCGAAGCATTAGCCAGAAAAGTAGTTGTATTTGTTTATCATCTACCATTGTTGTTCATTTTATGATTATTTGTCGAAATAACTTTGAGCATTTTTGTATTCATTCTGCAGAAAGTTTTTATTAGATGAAAAATATACATAATTAGTACATTTCAGAATAACGAACCTTCAATTCCGGTTGTGGAGAGAGGTATCAGACAAGTATATTCGTTGGAAAACCAAATTATTCCTGATATATTTCCACAAAATCCACTTCAGCCTCGAACAAAGCACCAACGATAATATTATTTGACACGTATCAACGTATATTATATCTTGTGCTACCTTCCATGTCTTATGTGCATTCCCTTCAATATTGCCTATTTATATATCCAGTGAAAAGTTGATTGAATCCATCTTATATTGTGAACACATACGTTCTGACGCTCTGTGCACCGAGAATAAATATGGAAATTCGATGTCTTGCTACCGAGACCAGACTCCTGGGGGAAAAGATAATATAGTTTTTTTTTGCTATGAAATATTTCCATTTTGCATATGCCATCGACTACCTATAAAAAGAAAATTGCATTCGATGCAGGAGTCAAATTGAATGAAAAAAGGTGGTTGTTCCACATAGTAGAATATTGTCGCCTCAAACATACTCTGAAATTATGTGAATATCGATCATTTCTATAGCATTAGATTCAAGTAACATCGTGTTTGTGCGTTGAGAGCTCGAAAAAATGTGCAGATTCGTGACATTTTTATTGAACTTGGATGACTGTTATTTTTTTGTATTAAAATTGTATTTTGAATTACTTGTTCATTGAAAATCCCTCAGAATAGGGATGAATATTTCGATAATAAATTATGTCATATTAAATGCGCCTTCGTTAAAAGTACCTCACGTTATTCAAATTTACCTCTTCTCAAATA